CTTTGATGAAAGTAAAACTTTTAATGAGAGTAGAAAGCCTCTCTCTCTCTCTCCTTCTTTTTTTTTAAATCATAGAACTGCTGGTGGTTTCAAACTGCTCACCTTGCAGTTATTAGCCCAATAGGTAACCACTATGCCACCAGAGCTCCAGTAGTAGAAAATCAGTGTACGTCTTTTTTATTAATACATTATATTTGTGCCATGACATACTTACCTGTTTCCCTAGTTTTGGATATTTAGATTATTAAGAATGATCTAACTATTTGGCCTTTATATGCAAGGCCACAGTGACCATCCTCTTAGAAATTTTCTGGCTCACATCTTTATTATTTCTACCAGTGAAATTTCTGGTCCAAGAAATGGCATCTTTAAAACTTTGATGAGCTGCTGTTAAATACCTTTCCACAGAATCAATCTATACTTCCAGGGACAACATTTTCTGTTAATCTTTTGTGGGAGAAAAAAATTATCATTTGAAGTTAAGTTGTAAATTATTTTTAAAACGGCAGTGTTTAATTGGTTTAATCCATTTAAATGTATTTGTTGTTCTTGTAGCAATCACTTAAGAATAATACTATTTAGAACTTACATTAAAATTACTATGGGTAATGTTGTGTTCCAAGTACTTGATAACAATTAATTTAGTTCCCTACAGCCTCTAAATTAGGCAGTGATTCAGTTTCCTCATTCTGTCCTAACAAAATATACCACAAAGTGGGTGACTTTAAGGAACAGCATTTTATAGTCTCACAATTAGGGCCCTAAAACAACCAACCAACCAACCAGCCAGCCAACCAAGCAATTTATTGACACCCAGTCAATTCCAACTCATAGCAACCTTGTAGGATAAGTAGATCTGTCCCTGGACATTTCTAGAGTGTACATTTTTATGGGAGCATGAAGCCTCATCTTTTCCCCACAGGGCAGCTGTTGGAGTTGGATTGCTAACCTGGCATATCATTATACCCATTCTTACTTGGGGGGGCTAGAAATGCAAATTAGGGAATCAGTTCTTTGGGAGAGTACTTCATCAGTAGTCCCAGGATCTTTGATTTTCCTTGGCTGCTTGTAGATGTATATTCACATGATATCTGTCCCCAACCCCGTAACCCTCATATGTTTGTATATGTTCTGTTATTTTTGTAAACCAACATTCAGAAAGGATTTGGTTTAGGACCAAACCTCTTGTTTCCTAAAACCAAACCAAGCCCACTGCCCTCCAGTCAATTCCAACTCAGAGTAACCCTAGAGGGCAGCATAGCTTTGCCCTTTATGTTTCTTGAGACTAAATCTTTATGGGAACAGAAAGCCTCATCTTTCTCCCACAGATACACTGGTGGGGTCAAACTGCTGATCTCGTGATGACAACTCACCCACTATGCTCACAGGGCCTCTTCTATTTCCTAACAGGGTCTTATTGCCTGGAACAGAGGTAGAACTTCTCTACAAGTTTTGTTGTTTATTATATGTAGGTTCTATTATTGTTCCTTCTTGTAGATAATGAAACAAAGGCCCAGAGAGTTTATTAACTTGTCAAAAGAGCTGGTTGTTATTGGGTCAATAATGCCAACCTACATCATTGGCTGCCAGAGTCCATGTGGCAATATTGCCTCAGAAAAGGGATACTGGGAGGCTAGGGAAATGGAGACAGAGGTACTCCCAGTTGGAGGAGGCTCTGGTTTGTGTAGAAGGCTGAGTGAGTAGTCAGTCCAATGTTCTACCAATGTTATCTAATTTAATCATTTCTGTTTAATTCCATGCTATATAGTATTGGTAAAAACTCTTACTTCAGAGATTTTAACCTCCAAACCAGGTTGTAGAGCTAATATATCATGGATTCAGGATCTTGTTTAAGCATTTACCTAGGTATATATCAGATGGACAGCTTTGCTCTTGATGCTAAATTTCCCTGTGTTTCATGCACACAGTAACATAATAACATTTTCAAAGTACATCATTCTTTCTAAAGACATATTCATTTAGACACTTTATAACTCAAATAATATAAATTAACTAATCATATGCAAGGCAAAATTAAAAAGACATCTGAAACTAATTTTAATTTCTGATGAATTAAAAATAGAAATGATCTTTGACCTATTATTACTCGTTATCTAACATATATTCCCATTGCAATTGTGTATGAGCTATTCCAAAAGAACAATTTATTTTCCCCTAAGTGATGTATTTCCCTTTCAATAACACTGGATTTGACAATCATTACATTGTTTATCCTCAAAACTGTAAGAATCTTCTAAAAGAATGTTCATATTATTGTACTCATTCTTCTACTCCCACTCACTCACTCATTCTCACTCACCCAGGCTCCGCTTTACAGATCCCTGTAGTTACTTAAATTCTTCCATCATCTCCATGTAATTAAACAAATTAATCTCCCATCTGTTATTTCAAGGACTGAATCTTTTTTTAATATTCATGTTTCCTTTCTTTCTTTATTTTTAAAATAATTTTATTAGGGGCTCATACAACTCTTATCACAATCCATACATACATCAATTGTGTAAAGCACATTTGTACATTCATT